TGGTATGATCACATCACTCCGTGCTTCTCAAACACACACACACACACATGCACAATTGATGCACTCTCACCCTGACACGTGACCGTCGCTGTCACGTCCCACCCCACCAGGATGAAGAGCTCGCCCGAGTTTGCGCGCGTGCTGGATCGCGTGCACAGCAATCCCCACTGCGCCCGTCTCAAGTTCCCAGACTTTGTCGCAAAGGTGGGTGTGCTGCATTGCCGCGTGTCTGTCTGTCTGTGTGTTCTTGCGAATGTGTGTGCTTGCGCGCGCGTGTGTGTGTGTGTGTGTGTGTGTGTGTGTGTGTGTATGTGTGTGTTCTTGTGTGTGTCGTGTGCGCTTTTGTGTGTTAATGTGTGTGTGCGTGTGTATTCAACGTGTGTCCTGTGTCAATTGCATGACCTTGAGTACGTTAACGAACTCTGGCGCTGTGTGTGTGTGTGTGTGTGTGTGTGTGTGTGTGTGTGTGTGTGTGTGTGCAGGTGTTCCAGCGGTTGAGCAAATATCCGCTTCTCCTATCCGGTATTGAGAAGTACGCGCCAAAGGTGAGCACATCGACCACTGCCGTGTGATCATGCTTCACTGACAGCTCGTCCGTTCAACCCCGACACAGATCGGCATGCGCGTGCACACACACGACACACACACACACACTCGCTCGCACACTCATGCACACGACACACACACACACACACATCCGTTTGCGCGTATGATAGGGGTCGTCGTTCAAGAGCGAGCGGCACGATGTTCACGCGGCAATTCTTCGCAGTAAACACATCTTGGAGGTGCGATGCGCTTGCATGGTTGTCACGAGTGGCTGCTTGCTGTGTGTAGACACAATGGCAACTTGGCGAGTGGTTGCATGTTCGCAGCGACCGTTGTGCCCCACATGAATTCAAACACACACACACACACATACACACACACACACGCGCACGCGCGCGCACACAGGAGATGGACTGGGAGCGCGTTCTGGATCTGCAGCACAATCTCGACTTCAGCGCATGCACCAGCGAGCTCAAGCACTTGAGGTACCGAGCGCGTTCTGGATCTGCAGCACAATCTCGACTTCAGCGCATGCACCAGCGAGCTCAAGCACTTGAGGTACCGTGGTCACTTCGAGTGTGTGTGTGTGTGTGTGTGTGTGTGTGTGTGTGTGTGTGTGTCGTTGTGTATGGTTACGAGTGGTTGTGTGTGGGTTTCGGAGTTTGCTGCACCATTACCATCTCACCTTGCCTCCCTTCATATCACCCACCAAACACCGCCACTACAATCGTACTATTCAGGCGTCTTGACTTGACGGCGCATCCGCGGCAAATCATGCGGGAGGGGTCGCTTGATATTGTCATTGACAGCCAGAACAACGTCAAGGGTGAGAGCCCTTTGGACTGTGTGCATGTGTGCATGTGTGTGTGTGTGTGCATGTGTGTGTTGATGTACATTCACGCGCATGAGTGTGCTGCAACTTACATTTACCATTTTGCCACAACATGTGTCTCACCCATGTGTTGGCACTAAACGTCACGTTACACTGCATGATGCGTGTATCCAGAGGTGTATGTGATTGTGCTGACAGACTTGATTCTCTTCACGCAACGGCGTGACGGTCACTTCCTCCTCAAATGCCCAGGTGCGCACACAACACACGGCTTCCATGCACATGTGCTGTGTGTATGTGTGTCTGTGTGTGTATGTGTGTCTGTGTGTGTGAAGCCTTACACTCGCCACATCACTACTCCTCACCCTCATCTACACCATCACCACGTGTTGCAGGCCGCAACATCACAAATGAGGGCGCCAAGAGCCCTGTGCTGCGACTGCGCGATGCACACGCGCGCGCAGAGGCCGCGGCCAAGGACGGATTCCTCCTCCTCAACAAGGTGTGGAGATGCGTGCGTGTGTGTGTGTGTTGTGTGTGTGTGCGTGCGTGTGCGTGTGTGTGCGTGCGTGTGCGCGCGCGCGCGTGTGTGTGTGTGTGTGTGTGTGTACGCTTTTGTTCTGACGTTTATGTACACGTTTGTTGTGCGTTACCTTCCTGCGATACCATGGCTGACACCCATTCACGCTCTGCCTGCCCCTTCCACCGCGTGCTCGTTCCTCACTCCTCGCCATCCATCAACGGCCTTCACTCTGCTCGTCCCGCCAGACGGATGCGTGCATTTACCAGCTGCGGGCCATGTCGAAGAAGAAGGAGTGGATCGAAACGATCACGTGAGTCACGATGGGGGATGTGATGGTGCTGCTGCTTCAATCTGCCAGCTCGCATTTCATTTGTGATCGTTTCCACACGCTTCTGACACACACACACACACACACACAACAATACACAACAAACACACACACACACACACAACAATACACACATACATACACACATTCAAAGGATGCTTGCAAGCAAGGCGAGCAAGTCTGGGCCGCAGCCGCTGTTCAGGGAGGCAGAATCGCAGCCCCCCTCCCGCGACCAAACGCCCTCAAGCAGCCATTCAACTGCACACAGGTGCTGTGTTGTGTGTGCGTGTGTGTGTGTGTGTGTGTGTGTGTGTGTGTGTGTGTGTGTGTGTGTGTGTGTGTCTTCTTCTCATCGTGCTGTGCACGCGACGCTAACGCCATGTTCCCCTCTTCATCTGTGCTCATCATCCATCATGTCCTGCACCACAGTTCACACGCGGCGTCGTTCCGACGAGCAACGATGCACGTGCTGTCGCCACCACCGCACGTGCGCCGGCCCGGCTCCCCATCCACGCGATCCGTCAGCCTCAACAGCATTGCACCGCCACCACATCCGCCGGCGTCCCACTCGGCCCACGACGGCGATGGTGGTGATGGCGGTGATCAGCTGAAGGGTGTGGCAGGTGCTGGTACCGGGCATGGCGGTGAAGAACTGGGAGGCAAGTCGCAGATCACGGAACACCAACCAACCAAGATCGGCAAGGACAGGACGGCGGAGCAACGCAAACCCGCTGAGCAAGCAGCGCACCACATCAGCAGCGACAGCCACCAAGACGGTACACGCGATGGTGCAGACGGCGGCGACGACGACGCGAGCAGCGGGCGGTTCGACAACGTGTCCACACCATCGAGCGGACCTGGTGCCGTGGAGAGTGCAGTGTCATCGGCATCCCGCCCAGCGTCGCACCGCTCGCCTCGCTCGTCCATGACCACATCGCTGAAGAAGACGAAACGGCGGAAGTACATGCACCGCACCATCCTCCTTCGTCACACCGGGTTTGCTGTTGATGGCGAGGCATTTGGCGTCACCCTCTCCCCAGCGGCAGCCGTCCTGCCGGTGCGTTTTGTTGTGGTTTGGTTTTGGTGTTGGTTGGAGGCTTGTCCTAGTTTGGCTCGTTTGTTTGTTTGGTTGCATGAAAGTGTGGCAAGTTATGCATGCTGGAGCACCATTATGTCCACACGTGCGTGCAGTTTGCGCAATGGCGTATTAACGCCTTGCCCTGCCCGACACCATGTTCACATGCTGTTCATGCTTGCATGTTGCGTTTCAGGACGTCAAATCGGACATTTCCGCCGGTTTCCACATTGACGACGTGACAGACCCTTCAGTCGCGTTTGCATCAGGTCCGCATGCACTCCACACTCACGCACAAAATGCGCACTTGCTCTGCGCTTTGCTTGATTTCCATACTACCTTCGTTCTTGCCCCAAGTCCACCTTCTAATTCACACACACACACGCCTCTCACGATCTGCGCGTGCCACTGACCCATCACCAAACAACAAACAAACAACACAGGCCTGCGGCGTGGTGATGTGCTGCTGAAGATTGACCACGAGAGCGTTGCCGGCAACTCGTTGCAGGAAGTGTACGAGGCCCTTGGCGACCATCGCGGCATCGAGAGCATTCTCGTGGCGCGCAAGGCCTCCACCCGCCTCTCCTCGTCCTCATCCATTACTTCCCCGTCCTACTCAAAGTACGTTTTCGTGAGCGCAATTGCGAAACAGAGGTGTGTG